GTGCTTTAGACCACTGAGCCATCTCTCCAGCCCCATAGAAGCCCTTTTCTATTGGGAGGCCCATGGCAGTGATACAATTGAGAAAATTAGCTTTAGTGTGTTAAAACTAAAAGAAGCGTATCTGTGGAAGAGACACAGTGTGGAAGTCAAAGTGTAGAGACTGAAGTCTTTGTCATGCCTGAACCTGTGGTAGATACTGATTTTAGTGGGACACAGAAAGTCAGTAGGGATGGATTAAATTCTACATTTAATATTTCCATGTATCAAAGGGAAACATAACATAACATAACGGAATAAAATGGAAGCTGATAGGCTGAAAAAGGTATGTGTGAAAATTATAACTGATGAAAGATTAGAATCCAGAGCATTCTTTTTTTTTTTTTTTTTTTTTTTTTTTGGCAGAACTGGGGATTGAACTCAGGCCCTTATACTTGCCAGGCAAGCGCTTATTCTACTGAGCTATCTCCCTGGCCCCAAGATTAGAATCTAGATGGTATAACAATTTTCAAATCAATTTCTAGTAAGACAGTGTAATAGTATTAAAGGATATAGACATGAAGTCCATATAAAGAAAGTTCAAATAATAAACAGGAAAAGATGTGTAAATGTAATTATTCGACAAATGCAAATGAAAAGCAAAATACCAAGGCATCCCATTTTTTGAGCATTTAAAGATCTTGTACCAAATAAGACAGGTTAATAGCAGAAGGAACACTTCTTGTACTAGGGAGGGAATTGCCAATTATGATAGAGAACAACTAGGCAAAGTACTAGATAGTGAAGCTGAAGGTAAACCACCTAGAATTTATACATGTGTACAAAAATACACAAAAATGTTTTTCATTAAGTCATTGCTTTAGCAAAATACTTGAAATAATATAAATATTGTTTAACAGGAGTAGAAAAGTATGCAGTGCAATGCTATGTATCAGTAAAAATGAATACACTAGAGTTACGAATACTTAAAAGCATAAATTTAAAAAATATATGGCTCTGAGAGTAAAGCAAGTTGTGGATGATAATGTAACGTGTGAATATGTATAGTTTAAAAATCATTTAAATGTGAGTATAGTTTGGGTGTGATAGATTTATATATGTATGAAAATATAGAAAGGAAGATTACCAATTGTCAGGATATTCTTTGTTTTAAAGGGAATATTAAGGAAATATGATAAAATGTTTATGTACATGGTTATTCCATTGATAGTGTTCTCTAGTTTTTTGGCATATTTTATTATAAATTAAATATTTGTGTTTTATGATAAAAGATGTATTTCCAGAAGAATTTTAGCCCTTACCACTCATTCCTCTATCTCTTCTGCCTTGGTCTGAGGAAGAAAATAATATTAGCTCTAAATATTTTAGGTTATAGAAAAAAGACATAAGATATTAGGGAGTATATGTTTCTTTAAGTTACATTTCACCTCTATGTTGAACTCCTCAAAAGATAGAAATACTTTTATTCTACAAATTTTTTACCCAGCTAAAATAAAAATTTAAGGGATTAGTTCAGTCATACTCACTTTTGAGAAATAAAATATTCCATTATTTATGGGACTTTAAAACACCTTATTGAGCTGGTGAGATAGCTCAGTGGATTAAGCACCTGCCTGGCAAGCACAAGGTCCTGAATTTGATCCCTGGTATGAAAAAATAAAAATAAAAATATATATAAATAAATGGCGGGGCTGGTGAGATGGCTCAGTGGTCTAAAGCACCTACTTAGAACAAGTTTAGCAAAGCACAGGGACCGCAGTTCAATCCCCCAGCACCACATGCCAGCCAGCCC